AATTCTTCAATCAATTGTTTAGGCCTATATTTTGCTGATTCACGGGCCACTGATTCTGCATTATTATCTCTTGTATATTGCAGATTATGCAATGTCCAAGGAGACTGTCATTGTGGGTGATGCAGGCTGTCAGATTCTATACGGAGGTCGTTGTGTAGACACCACTCATGGACTATACTACACATGGGATGCTGGTGCTCTTTTATTTGTAAGGGATAGAGACAAGCCTCATGGTACATAATTCATATTATGCATCTTGTCTACAACTTTGTGTTGGTTTGAATCGTTGATATACACACCTTCTGTGTAAGTTGCATCACAACCACTCGACAAAAAAAGTGCATTGCCTATTAAAGTAGACTCAAGAGAAGAAAATAAATATGGTCAAGTTCAAGTCCAAGCAGGCAGGTAATCCAATGCTGCTGCTGCTGGATGCTTCAAAAGAGCATAATTCATGGCAGTACACATCTTGGCTGAAAAAATTGTGATGATATATGTGGCCATGGCTGTTTTTTGAGCGTTTTGCATTTGCCTTAATTGGTGGTGCTTGGGGCTTTTACTTGGTGCAATTGTAATAGCTTGGACTACCAGGCATAAGAATGTATGTCCCAGCTTCAGAGCAACCAATTCTTGCACAACCACCTTTGAGGCTTTATCCAGTCCTAACCTTCCACCTCTCGTAGCACCTTGATTTGGTGGGGCCAACAAAAGTAAAGGCTCCCATTGGTAATGTTGATGTCAAGTATTGATCTGGTGCCTTATATTCACATTTAACTAATGGTTATAACGAGGGATTAGAAGAGTGATTTTGTGGAATTGTTTATGCCATTCACATACATTATTTTGTGTTGCATGATGGATTTTTTCCACAAAGTTGGCACATTTTTTTTTTCAATTAGCTTTCAATTTTTTTGAAGTCTGCCATGGCCACTTTTGAACTTTCACTTCTGTAAACCTATCTTCAAAGGAGTGAGTGAGTTTATGTTTGATGTTTTTTGGGTTGTACTTCATATTCTGATTACTGATCGGTGTGTTTGGAAGCTATTTGTTACTTTCCCAAAGTGCTTCTTGTCTGCTGGTAGTGATCATGTTTGTTTTTCTTGGTTTCTTATATGCATCCCAATGAGCTGTGCTACATTTTGCTTCAAACTCTTACTCAAGTTGTATGGTGCCATTGTTCGAAATATTTTCTTTAACATTAGTGTAAGTAATGTCAATGTTGTTGGGTATACTCTACTTTGGTGACTTTCTATCAATTGGCTATGGTGCATTGCTTTTGTAACTTTTGTTTGCAATATATTGCTTTGCATATACCTTTGTCTGTTGTTGATGCATTTGTTTTCTTCACATCTGAAGTTATGGGTATTTTAAAAAATAATGCTTCTTTGGTTGGACTTAATGAACAGGTGTAGGAGAAACTTGTTTCCATATGGCATTATCATCTGGTGTATCATCGATAGGTCCCATATACAAGGCAGATTCCGTGAGAGAGAGACGCGATGAGTTTTCGACTTGGCTTACTGCTAAAAGAGAAGGATCCAATTTAAAACTCGATGGCGGCACTCTTCTGGATACCATCTATGATGAAGTATGGTAGTGTTTTTCTTAAGTGAACTTTTAGCGGACTTTTTGTTATAGGCACAGTTCACTTGGTAATATAATTATCAACAGAATCCGTTCTTGCCACTGAAGATTATGATGAGGTTTCCATGTCTGTTTTTTTGGTTTTTGAGGTTGGCTGGATGCGTAATGCTTACTTAAATACACTAAACTGGATGACCTGTTCCATGTTTCAAGTATGCCATGAGTTTTTGGAAATAGATTTCTTCCTTGAACAAGTTTTTCGTATACCAACTTTTCATATTATGGATATTCATATAACATGTGACCCAATACTCCTATGGAGAATATTTTGTCTAGTTCTGATAGATGATACTCTGATAGTGTCAATTGCAACAGAGGACAGAAATGGACTTGGCTATTAAACAGTTTACTCTGTTTCATTGATATTTCAGCTGGATGCGATGTTGAAATCATTTGTCTATTGGTTGTTAGAATTTGAGGTATTTTTAGTCCCTTGAATGATGTTGTAGACCCATCATTGGAAGAGATCCTTGATTTTTGCAGATCTCTCAAATCGGTAGATATTGTTAATTAGGGACCCAACATTGGTTTTGCACTTCATCATGTCTTACTTTCTTTAGGATTTTTTTAGCTGCTGCATTTGTGTGAAAGTGAGAACATTGGTCGCATTTGTTTATTTTTACACTTGACATGCTATTGTTCTTCCTTTTTTTTTTTTGAACTGGTGCTATTGTTCTTCCTGACATGAGCAACTATTCGTGGCAGATGGGAGATCGTAGTCCAAATGCTGCTTTATATATAGGGGTAACAAAGAGAAGAAAATGCTCCATTGGATTGGAAAAAGTAAGATGGATAACATCCCAGGAATTCCATGAAGTTCAGGAGTGAGTTACAGACTTTTCATTTCTGCTTGAGTTTTTTTTGCCTCTTATACAGATCGTTATTCCGTTACCTTGATGAGCTTAAACAACAAACTTGATACAGCCTTGTATGACATGTTGAAAAAGTTGAAATACTAAAACATATATAGAAGTGTGCTATTGCATATATTTAAGTGGCACATCTCATGATGATGGTTTACATTTCTGGGGCATCCATTACTTGCCTAATCTTTCTCCTTCCTCTATTGAATGAAGAGAAAATGAAGCATTTGATAATATGTATAAAGACTCCAGTGGTTGCAGCATGCAAGGCAGATTTGAAAATGGCAAGAAGCAACATTTTAGTATGGGCCAGAAGTTACCACAATCAAATTGAGAACTCTAGGCACTAAAATGTCACAATTGAAATTTGAGGCCTCAAAGTGAAACTGAGTGGGTTTTTCAGAAACTGCCAATATACTTCAACTTTTAGTTTGTAATATACAGATCTTCATGGGCGGAGCCAGGATTTTATGTTAGAGGGGGCAAAAATCTGAATGAAAGTAATTAATCAACTGCTAGTAAAAAATTTTCCATGTCTCCATCAATAAGGACTAAAGTGGGTGTCATATTCATATGAGAAAATTCATAAGTTTGGGTAGTGAGAAATATATGGTCAAAAAAAAAAGTATGAGAAATATATTAACTCACCAAAAATGTATCAGACCAAAGACATTGTTTTTTGTCAATATATAAGAGTTCTGGAATTTCACTTATATTTTATTCGGCACAAAAATAGATATTTATTTTAGTAAGCTAGGGGGTGAGTGGTACCTCTACGGCACTACCTTGCCGAAAAGAAAATAGACCAAGGCCACTATACAAATTTTCAAAATCTTTGATGGGACAATGTAATAGGTTGAGATAGCGATTTTGTTTGGTCAAGTATATATACAATATTCCTCAAAAGGTCATTTTATAATGTAGCTCCCTGCAGATCGTTACTTCTAGCATTTGAGGGATTATGTTCCCAGTTGATACTTGAACGAATAAGAAAATGTCAAAGCACATCCATAGATGTTGGTATTCATTTCTCAAATGGCATTTATCTTTTATAGTAGGGGTCTCCAATTGCATTTACAGGATCTTGTAGATTTACCTCTACTGTTCTGTACATTTGCTACTGTAATTGGTCAATCTAAAGCGTCTGAGCTTCCTTCATAGTAATGTACTTCTGGTGGAGGCCGCCAACTGCCAACCAGTTATTTGGTTTCCATGACTTTAGGGAGAAAAGGAGTAAGGAATGAAAAATAATTGGTCACTTCCTTGTTTTTTGCAGGGGAGATGATGAATACCTTTATGTCAATGGCACTGGTATCAGAACTGGGGATTCGTTTCACTTTTACTTTTCCGATTCTGGGAGTGCTTTATCTTCGTGTAACGCTGTCTCCAATAACCTTAGACGTTTGAAGCAAGACTGTGACCATGAGAAGGGTGTCACTGCGTATGGCAAGAAGGAAGTCTTTGGGGGTCTTATCTTTTCTTGCTGTGGTCGTGGTGAATCATTTTTTGGACATCCTAATGTGGATAGCACTCCATTCCTGGAAAACTTTCCTGAAGTTACATTGTCTGGAACTTTTTCTGCTGGGGAAATTGGTCGAGGTGATTCACATAATGAAAGCTCTGTTCGTTGCTGTCTACATGTCTTTAGCACTGTTTACCTAATTATGTCATACACTCCGGCACTGCCGGATCAGTAGATTTTAAAANGGATGCACTTTGATATAAATTTCTATCTTTCAGGGTGCAAATTGAAAATTTTGATCTTTGGGGGTACACATTGATACAAATTTCTATCTGATGGTGTAAATTGAGATTTTTGTTTTTTGATTTTTGAGGGCGCAAATTGAGATTCGAACAATCTTTCGGGGTACAAAATGAGATTAACCCTTTCTATTTTTAAGAGTGCAAATTGAGATTTTTAATTTTTTGTGGCGCACATTTATATAAATTTATATCTTTAAGGGTATAAATTGAGATTCAAACGATCTTTCAGGGTACAACTTGTAATTAACCTTAAAAATTAAACAATGACTTTCATTTTAAATTATGTCCTAAACTTTTAATTATTTCAATTTATCTCCTAAATTATTTTAATTGACCTATTTCGTTAAGATCTATTATATAAAACAGCTAGGCTTCAATAAGTTTAATCGACGGTCTCAAATAGACTCATCTAACTATCACTAACATTCATTTCAGAATTATTCATATTTTTTCTCTAAATCCATCACTTTCAAGTACGAATTACTCTTAGTTAATTAATAAATGTGATAGATTATGGTAAGATTAATTATGAAATGAGGCCAATACCGTTAACCTTAACGAAGTAAATTGATTAAAATAAATTACATAATTCACAAGATAAATTAAAATATTTATAAATTTAAAATAAAGTCCGTAATTTACCATGCCTGGTTTGGGTTTCATTCGTTAGGCAGAAGTGCTTAAAAAGAACATACCAGACCACCACCGAAGAAACCATCCCCCCTCCCCCCAAAAAAAAAACACAATATGAAAATGGCGAAAAAGAGGCGCGGACAGAGAGAGTCAGAGAGGACAGTCGAAGGCATCGACGCCATAGGCGAAGACGTTCTACAGAACATTCTCTCTCGACTCCCTGCGTTATCATTTGCATCCGCGGCGTGCGTTAGCCGATCCTGGAACAAAATCTGCAAGCGTGTCCTCTCTCGCCCGAAGCTCACCTCTGCTCTCTCTCTCAAATCCTCCGAACAGGTACAAATTCTTGAAACCCTAACCCTAGAGACTTCTCTTTTCTTGCTTTTCTCCGTCTACTGTCCGTTTGTTTCCCGAAGAAATTTAATATTTTTCTCATCTAATTTGTAATTTTCACAACTCTAGGAAGCTGTGCATGAGGTGCTTGAGAAGGTTTTATCCGAGCCAATCCGACCGCACTTCGCTATTGCTTATATCGGCCCCTCTTTTAACTCGCAGCTGACTCACTACCTCGTATTTATTTCTCTCTCCTTTCTCTATTTATATATACATGTTTATATTATATGTATAGCATTATATACGTATGAACATATTTTGCTGGAAAATTTTCGGTTGATGATGAGTTAAATGGTGCAGATTAATAAAAAATTGGGCTCCAGAATTCCAGTTATTACTTCAATGGGTCATGGTATAATCGGAAGAGATGCTTCTAGTAATGATTTCAAAGAGGTTTAAAATTTATTACCCATGTTGATTTTATTCATACTTATTTTCTTTGACTGATATTTACTGGTGAAGCCAGTGTTCTAAGTTTTCTAAATTAGGGTTTCGGAAATTTGTTCAGATTCAGTGGCAGACAACTGTGGATGATGAAACTGGTGCAGGTGTAAATTCCTCTGTGAATAGACATTGTGGAATTGTATTGACAGTTGGATACGTACCTGGTTTAAAAGTTGCCGTGGTTCCTCTGCTACGGTCAGTTGAGGTCAGGACTGCTATTTTTCTAATCTCAAATGTTTGTGTTGGCTGCATGGAATTGGATTAGATACAAATATTGTGCATTTTGGGATTGAAATTGTTTGTAATCCAGTGGGATATGAAGCAATTAGGTGATACTCTTCAAATCTCAATGGATGGGATTCATGGATTTAGTTCTTTTTTTAAAGTTTTTAAAGAGTTTGATTGAACCCCTTAAAGAAAATGACTTGAGAGTATTAAACATCAGGGACCTCCGGTATTCCTGGTGGATGATTTTGTGACGAATATTAGGGAGTACACGACCTCAGTTTCGGGATGCACATCGCCTGCTGGGATTATAATGTTTGGAGTAAGTTGACATTCTTCTACTCTGCTTGAGTTGTTTCTATTGAAAGAAAACCTATTTTCACATTTCTAATGTCCATTGTTTCTTGGTTTTGCATTTTTAACATGTTATTTGAATGCTGCTGTAGGACCAGGAGACTGACATGAAGCCTATTCTTGATAAGATGGGTAGGTTTTTGTTTTGATACATATCTATTGGTTATGTGTACATATGCATTCACTTTTTGAAAGTATCTGTTGGTTATGCCTACACATGGCCACCTTTGATACTATGGTTTTGGTGTTGGCTAAGTAATAGTTGGAGCTACATATGTTTCATGTCGTATTCGTGAACACGTACTAACAAGGTACTTGATCTGCGTTTGAGTTGTATGTTGTTTTTCATTTATTTTCCGTATCAGTACGGTTTTTGTTATATTGCTGTATTCAGTTGTTTATACATTTCTTACATAAGTGCCTTATAAAATCAATTCTTGAATCAATTGTTTCTTAATAAGATGGGTAGGTTTTTGTTCTGATACATATCTATTGGTTATGTGTACACATGCATTCACTTTTTGAAAGTATCTGTTGGTTATGCCTACACATGGCCACCTTTGATACTATGGTTTGGTGTTGGCTAAGTAATAGTTGGAGCTACATATGTTTCATGTCGTATTTGTGAACACGTACTAACAAGGTACTTGATCTGCGTTTGAGTTGTATGTTGTTTTTCATTTATTTTCTGTATCAGTATGGTTTATGTTATATTGCTGTATTCAGTTGTTTATACATTTCTTGCATAAGTGCCTTATAAAATCAATTCTTCAATCAATTGTTTAGGCCTATATTTTGCTGATTCACGGGCCACTGATTCTGCATTATTATCTCTTGTATATTGCAGATTATGCAATGTCCAAGGAGACTGTCATTGTGGGTGATGCAGGCTGTCAGATTCTATACGGAGGTCGTTGTGTAGACACCACTCATGGACTATACTACACATGGGATGCTGGTGCTCTTTTATTTGTAAGGGATAGAGACAAGCCTCATGGTACATAATTCATATTATGCATCTTGTCTACAACTTTGTGTTGGTTTGAATCGTTGATATACACACCTTCTGTGTAAGTTGCATCACAACCACTCGACAAAAAAAGTGCATTGCCTATTAAAGTAGACTCAAGAGAAGAAAATAAATATGGTCAAGTTCAAGTCCAAGCAGGCAGGTAATCCAATGCTGCTGCTGCTGGATGCTTCAAAAGAGCATAATTCATGGCAGTACACATCTTGGCTGAAAAAATTGTGATGATATATGTGGCCATGGCTGTTTTTTGAGCGTTTTGCATTTGCCTTAATTGGTGGTGCTTGGGGCTTTTACTTGGTGCAATTGTAATAGCTTGGACTACCAGGCATAAGAATGTATGTCCCAGCTTCAGAGCAACCAATTCTTGCACAACCACCTTTGAGGCTTTATCCAGTCCTAACCTTCCACCTCTCGTAGCACCTTGATTTGGTGGGGCCAACAAAAGTAAAGGCTCCCATTGGTAATGTTGATGTCAAGTATTGATCTGGTGCCTTATATTCACATTTAACTAATGGTTATAACGAGGGATTAGAAGAGTGATTTTGTGGAATTGTTTATGCCATTCACATACATTATTTTGTGTTGCATGATGGATTTTTTCCACAAAGTTGGCACATTTTTTTTTTCAATTAGCTTTCAATTTTTTTGAAGTCTGCCATGGCCACTTTTGAACTTTCACTTCTGTAAACCTATCTTCAAAGGAGTGAGTGAGTTTATGTTTGATGTTTTTTGGGTTGTACTTCATATTCTGATTACTGATCGGTGTGTTTGGAAGCTATTTGTTACTTTCCCAAAGTGCTTCTTGTCTGCTGGTAGTGATCATGTTTGTTTTTCTTGGTTTCTTATATGCATCCCAATGAGCTGTGCTACATTTTGCTTCAAACTCTTACTCAAGTTGTATGGTGCCATTGTTCGAAATATTTTCTTTAACATTAGTGTAAGTAATGTCAATGTTGTTGGGTATACTCTACTTTGGTGACTTTCTATCAATTGGCTATGGTGCATTGCTTTTGTAACTTTTGTTTGCAATATATTGCTTTGCATATACCTTTGTCTGTTGTTGATGCATTTGTTTTCTTCACATCTGAAGTTATGGGTATTTTAAAAAATAATGCTTCTTTGGTTGGACTTAATGAACAGGTGTAGGAGAAACTTGTTTCCATATGGCATTATCATCTGGTGTATCATCGATAGGTCCCATATACAAGGCAGATTCCGTGAGAGAGAGACGCGATGAGTTTTCGACTTGGCTTACTGCTAAAAGAGAAGGATCCAATTTAAAACTCGATGGCGGCACTCTTCTGGATACCATCTATGATGAAGTATGGTAGTGTTTTTCTTAAGTGAACTTTTAGCGGACTTTTTGTTATAGGCACAGTTCACTTGGTAATATAATTATCAACAGAATCCGTTCTTGCCACTGAAGATTATGATGAGGTTTCCATGTCTGTTTTTTTGGTTTTTGAGGTTGGCTGGATGCGTAATGCTTACTTAAATACACTAAACTGGATGACCTGTTCCATGTTTCAAGTATGCCATGAGTTTTTGGAAATAGATTTCTTCCTTGAACAAGTTTTTCGTATACCAACTTTTCATATTATGGATATTCATATAACATGTGACCCAATACTCCTATGGAGAATATTTTGTCTAGTTCTGATAGATGATACTCTGATAGTGTCAATTGCAACAGAGGACAGAAATGGACTTGGCTATTAAACAGTTTACTCTGTTTCATTGATATTTCAGCTGAATGCGATGTTGAAATCATTTGTCTATTGGTTGTTAGAATTTGAGGTATTTTTAGTCCCTTGAATGATGTTGTAGACCCATCATTGGAAGAGATCCTTGATTTTTGCAGATCTCTCAAATCGGTAGATATTGTTAATTAGGGACCCAACATTGGTTTTGCACTTCATCATGTCTTACTTTCTTTAGGATTTTTTTAGCTGCTGCATTTGTGTGAAAGTGAGAACATTGGTCGCATTTGTTTATTTTTACACTTGACATGCTATTGTTCTTCCTTTTTTTTTTTTGAACTGGTGCTATTGTTCTTCCTGACATGAGCAACTATTCGTGGCAGATGGGAGATCGTAGTCCAAATGCTGCTTTATATATAGGGGTAACAAAGAGAAGAAAATGCTCCATTGGATTGGAAAAAGTAAGATGGATAACATCCCAGGAATTCCATGAAGTTCAGGAGTGAGTTACAGACTTTTCATTTCTGCTTGAGTTTTTTTTGCCTCTTATACAGATCGTTATTCCGTTACCTTGATGAGCTTAAACAACAAACTTGATACAGCCTTGTATGACATGTTGAAAAAGTTGAAATACTAAAACATATATAGAAGTGTGCTATTGCATATATTTAAGTGGCACATCTCATGATGATGGTTTACATTTCTGGGGCATCCATTACTTGCCTAATCTTTCTCCTTCCTCTATTGAATGAAGAGAAAATGAAGCATTTGATAATATGTATAAAGACTCCAGTGGTTGCAGCATGCAAGGCAGATTTGAAAATGGCAAGAAGCAACATTTTAGTATGGGCCAGAAGTTACCACAATCAAATTGAGAACTCTAGGCACTAAAATGTCACAATTGAAATTTGAGGCCTCAAAGTGAAACTGAGTGGGTTTTTCAGAAACTGCCAATATACTTCAACTTTTAGTTTGTAATATACAGATCTTCATGGGCGGAGCCAGGATTTTATGTTAGAGGGGGCAAAAATCTGAATGAAAGTAATTAATCAACTGCTAGTAAAAAATTTTCCATGTCTCCATCAATAAGGACTAAAGTGGGTGTCATATTCATATGAGAAAATTCATAAGTTTGGGTAGTGAGAAATATATGGTCAAAAAAAAAAGTATGAGAAATATATTAACTCACCAAAAATGTATCAGACCAAAGACATTGTTTTTTGTCAATATATAAGAGTTCTGGAATTTCACTTATATTTTATTCGGCACAAAAATAGATATTTATTTTAGTAAGCTAGGGGGTGAGTGGTACCTCTACGGCACTACCTTGCCGAAAAGAAAATAGACCAAGGCCACTATACAAATTTTCAAAATCTTTGATGGGACAATGTAATAGGTTGAGATAGCGATTTTGTTTGGTCAAGTATATATACAATATTCCTCAAAAGGTCATTTTATAATGTAGCTCCCTGCAGATCGTTACTTCTAGCATTTGAGGGATTATGTTCCCAGTTGATACTTGAACGAATAAGAAAATGTCAAAGCACATCCATAGATGTTGGTATTCATTTCTCAAATGGCATTTATCTTTTATAGTAGGGGTCTCCAATTGCATTTACAGGATCTTGTAGATTTACCTCTACTGTTCTGTACATTTGCTACTGTAATTGGTCAATCTAAAGCGTCTGAGCTTCCTTCATAGTAATGTACTTCTGGTGGAGGCCGCCAACTGCCAACCAGTTATTTGGTTTCCATGACTTTAGGGAGAAAAGGAGTAAGGAATGAAAAATAATTGGTCACTTCCTTGTTTTTTGCAGGGGAGATGATGAATACCTTTATGTCAATGGCACTGGTATCAGAACTGGGGATTCGTTTCACTTTTACTTTTCCGATTCTGGGAGTGCTTTATCTTCGTGTAACGCTGTCTCCAATAACCTTAGACGTTTGAAGCAAGACTGTGACCATGAGAAGGGTGTCACTGCGTATGGCAAGAAGGAAGTCTTTGGGGGTCTTATCTTTTCTTGCTGTGGTCGTGGTGAATCATTTTTTGGACATCCTAATGTGGATAGCACTCCATTCCTGGAAAACTTTCCTGAAGTTACATTGTCTGGAACTTTTTCTGCTGGGGAAATTGGTCGAGGTGATTCACATAATGAAAGCTCTGTTCGTTGCTGTCTACATGTCTTTAGCACTGTTTACCTAATTATGTCATACACTCCGGCACTGCCGGATCAGTAGATTTTAAAAAAAAAAATCCACTCTTAGATTTATTCAATGAGTAACTCAAATGTGTACTCTTTTGTATTTTGATCTCGCTTTGTCATTCCTCTCCTTTCGCCTTTTTTGGTTCTTGTGTATCGGGGTGGGGGTGTGGATGTGGATGTGTTAGTGGGTGGGGATGGTTTAGGCCTTCCAAATGATGAATCGTTACTTCTTGCACCTAAACACCGAGTTTTCAAGATTGAAGAATGAGGGGAACAAAAAAAAAGAACCCTGTCAAGTTTTATGATTCCAATGAATTTGTGTACTGTGAATGCCTCAGCGAGGCGGCCATTTTTCCTTTTTTGAAAAAATGATGCCATTGGATAGGCTACTGACTAGATAATTACATGGTCCTTTGTTTCTTGCCTATTGTGGGGGATAAAACTATGTATATGTAATGTTTCACAGATTCTGCAGTGATGAAAGCCTCATAAGCTGATTGGTACTTGTTTATATATGCGCGTTATACATGAATACACGATACAATTGACAAAGTTCAATTACACAAGGACTTTTGAACAAGATTATAGATAGAACTTGTGTAGAGCAATGTGGCAAAGATTAACTTTAAAGGAGAAGAAACTTTGGCAGTCGGGGCGGACTCACCTGGAAAGTGTGTTAACCTGAATTGCATCGCCGGCTAATAGAGACATAATACTGGGCCTCCAGACTCCAGAAAACGGGGTGGAGTATTTGATATTTCCTCATACATGCTACTGTTTTTTTTCCCATGGCTGATTTATCTTCAACAACGTTAACCTGCACTCGCAAGGATCCAACTTACAGTCCAAGCATCATATCCTCCTGCGTGCCACAACTCTCTCTCTTTCTCTTAGGGCAGCCCGAGGCACGTTGGGATCTAAAGCGAAAACAATAAATGAAACCTTTTATTTTTAACATTAATAATAAAGAGAGAGAGGGAGAGAATGATTGCAAAAATTATGATGGTAAATTTGACCTTGACTTTTTTTGAGGGGTTAAGACTTGATTCTTTTACAACTTTAATTTTAGTGTTAGTTTTTTTTCAAAAAAATTGAATTTCATGAACTAAATTAATAGGTCCAATCTAATCAAATTAAAATATTTTGTTTAGGCTTAAATCTATGGTTTTTGGAGGCTTATTTTATGAATTCAGAATTTTTGTTTGGACTATTACTACACATATATAAGCGGAAAATTGTGAATAGGACTTTCATTGAAGTGAGGTCTAAAGCTCAAATTGTGAATAGGACTTTCATGCAACATTTAGCCATGCAGAGACTTGGCAAGTTTCTTCAGAACACTAACCCAAAAAAAAAATCTATTCAAAACACAGCATCCAATTCAATTGAAGTGGTAGCCAGTTCCGGTGCTGGGCATTACAATGCAGAACAGGGAACTCAAAACACTTGCATTTAAGCCGTGAAGTTTGCTTATTTCCTTCAAAAGGAATCGCCCACTAAATAATACATGACTAGACAAACAATAAAAATCTTCAAATGGAAATCCCCAAAAACTTCTTCATCTTCTCAACCTCCAAATATACCGTTGAATATGGTAGGAACTCTGAGAAATGACTCTTACTGAGATCATTAATTGCAGCAGCAAGTTTAGGGATCTCTAATGTCTCCTCATGGGTCAGAGTCCTAACAAACCTTGCAGGATTCCCAGCCCAAAGCTCACCGGTTGGGATTCTCCTCCCTGGTGGAACCACAGATCCAGCTTCAAGGATTGAGTGGGTCTCCACCAATGAGCCTTTCATGAGGACGGAATGCTGTCCAATGATGCACTCTGGCTCAATTACACAAGACCGCAAGAGACTATATGCACCAATTGTTACATACCTCTCAATTGATGTCTCTGCTGGCAGCCCTGATATTTGGAAAGAAGCAGCAAACAATGTAAACTGAAATTCCAACAATTACATTCATTTGTACTCTTTCTTTTCCTCTTTCCTTTTAACTTTGCTAGAAGGGAGGACTGATAAGATTTGTCATCATACAAAATGAAGTGCACATTTGTACATCAAGATAATTTTAACTTAAGATGTAGAAAACGTGCAACATAAACAAGGCTGCAGGAATCAGCAAACAATAACTCTACGGAGCTCAAAATTTTCAAGTACTAGTCCATCTCCTGGAGCAGTGTTATTTAAGGTGTAAAGCGAACCGAAGCGACCAAGGCTCCTAACGTCTAAGCGAGAAGCGAGAAGCGAACCGAAAGGATTTACCGAAGTGAAGCGAACAATTAAAAAAATAAATAAATATTTTAGTTTAATTACTTATATACATCTAAGTTCTAATTATATATATACTAAATATTTAAATGCAAGTAAAACCATAAACATTTAAATTAAAACAAACACTAATAATATCTCAAATCTTAATAACAGTCATAGCTTAAACATTTAAATTAAATCTATTTTTATGTACATTCGTAGGCTTATATACATGTACTGAATCACATTTCAGGACAGCAAAACAGAAGAAACAAAACATCAAAATCAGAATCAGAATAAGGGCACAATCAGAAGCACGATCAGGAAGCACAGTCAAAGCAGTACACTCCAATTTCGCTCACATCAGAAGCACAATCAAGAAATCAGGGAAAAAAAAAATGAGACTAACCTATGCAACGAGGAAGGAGACGGTGTAGGAGCAGAATCAAAATCAGGAAAAAAAAAAAGAGCAATGAGGAAGCGAGGAAGAAGATCTAGAACCAGAAAAGCGAAAAAAAAAAGAGAAATAGGAAAAAAAAAAAAAAGGAGACTAACATGTGCAGCGAGGAAGGAGACTCTGTCCAGGAAGGAGACTCTGTCCAGGAAGGAGACTCTGTAGGAGCAGAATCAGAATCAGTAGGACCAGAATCAGGATCAGGAGAAAAAAAAAGAGTAGCGAGGAAGAAGATCCAGAACCAGAAAAGAGAAGAAAAAAAAGAAAAATAGAAGAGATAAATAAAAAAAAAAAGATTAACCTGTGCAGCGATCAGTGAGGAAGGAGACTCTGTCCAGCCTTCAGCGTGAGCAACGAGCAGCGAAGAAACCTTAGGAGTAACGACAGAGAGTTGATCGTCTCTGTCGATCAAGTCCAGCAATCGAGTGTAGGAGTCCAGCGATCGTATGTAGGAGTCCAGCCTTAGCAACGACCAGCAAAAAATTTAATTTAAATTAGGGTTTGGTTTGTATTTATTGGATAAGGGGATAATTCGGTGTATCATATCTTATAATTTTTTTTTCAATCGCCCAATCAAACGGTCCAAATTAAAACTAAAACAATTTCGATTCTCATAACAAAAGCGGTCACTTTTTCACCTTGCGCTTAAGCACTAGGCGAACGCTTTTGCTTTTGTCTCACTTCGCTCGCGTTCGCTTCGCCTAGGGTCCTCCAGGCGAGATAACCTCGCCTCACCTCGCTTCTCGCCTAGGTGAGCGCCCAGGCGCGCTTTTCAAAACACTGGCCAAGAGCATGTGTAAAGAAATGCACTAGTTGAGTGACTTGAGTCTGCCACTCTTCGATAGCTGCCTGGCTTACTGGAACTACGAGATTGCTAGATCTTCTTTCTTATTATATGTTCTATCATAATCTAAAACTTCAAGTAGGAGGGTTCTCTTAATAGGAAAAGGACAATCAGACGAAAAAGGATTGTACCATATCTAAGGGAGAAGCTTCACTCTCTAGGAAGCTTCCCTATCTTATTAGAGTATATTCATTTCAACATATAAATTATGCTTCTTATAAAGTTTCACCACACACGCAAAGGCATACAAATATTGAGATTTAAACTTTCCCAACATTCATGTTCTACGTTCTCCACAATCATCATATTTCTCATTCTTACTGAAAGTGATATTTAAACAAAGAACACCACTTATTTTTTTGACAATCCCCATATTTTAAACAATAGTTGCTGTGATAGTAGTTTTTAGAAGGCACTTAAAATAGGAATTAATGTTTACAGTGATAAGTGCAAAGTAAATTGCCAGAATAGTTTGAATTACCTTTCAAAAGATCATTGGGTGTGTTTTGATAAATGATCATTTGGTGTGTTTAAAGCTTGGACAAGTTTGGCTTGCCCTTCCTTTATTTGTAATTAAAAAAAAGAACTAAAAGAAACTTGGAAAAAGAGAGGAGATTTTAAACTTAAAGAGGGAGACCAACCAATACTTTTATCCAGAATGAAAAATGAAATGTCTATGCCAAGCATCAAACAGAAGAAATTTATCACCCGCAATGGGATGGTATTTCCTGTTACGTAAACTTCCATAAGCTTGCATTCCCGCACTAAAGTCTAATATACGCTTCTCCCACTGTGTATATTAAGAGAAAGGCTAATACGTCTGTCGTATGTCTCTCTCTAAAAAGTCCCCTTGACGTGAATAGAAGGAATTACTAAGGGGAAAAAAAGCTCACCACATCAAGTATGCCATCTAACTGACTTATAAATTCTCAGCCTAAAACTGACATACCTTCCTTATCCCTGGTCGAAAGATCAAGGGGATTTTCTATATGAACTACTGCAAATTTCAGAACACAAAACTGCACAACAAAAATCAAGTGCATACATTCCAGGTAGGATATATCCATTCAAAAGGCATAGTCAAAATTTCAACTTTTCAAGTTAACTATGGCATCTTGAACAACCATTTTGGTTGAAACTTGAAATCAACACCTTGTAACTACATAATCACTACATCCTAACCATAATTCTAATCGAATATTCAATATTCCAAGTTATAATGTCCAGGATCTCTAAAAATACAAACACTTGAACCCTGTTGCATAGCTAACTATACCAAGGGTACCTGACTAAGGAATACTTGTTTTAGGCTCAGTTAAATTTAGATTTTGTCATTGAACGCATTCCCAGACAATGGAAAATCTGAAATTAGACATCGAATTTTCTTCCTTTTCCTACATATTCTAAGCAACCAAACAAAACCATAACTATTAAAACCATCAGAAAATGATAATTTCTTCTAACAAAGCCAAATTAGTGGTTTTTGGCTCCATTAACTCTAGGTTTTTATTTTGCAATATCCCAAACATCAAATAATTCACAATTTAGAACATCAACTCTGACGTAAGTCTCCACATTTCCTCATTAAAGAATCAAGAACCCTAAAATATAAGCCATTAAATTTTCTCCAAACCTGTAGGTGAAGACCAAGCGGCGTGGATGACACACTTCTCCTGAACATTGGAACAGAACCCTACGGTGATCTTGTTGAGATCGCCCCGAAGAACCGACCCGTTCCAGACGGAGGCTCCATCGTAGACTGTGACCTGGCCGGCCAAGACCACGTTGGGAGCCACGTAGGCGTCGACGGCGATTTTTGGGAGCCACTGCCCCAATGGGATGATCTTCCTCTGCCCTCTGTAGTCCCACTTCACTCGATCCGGCGACTCCGTGATCTTTGCGGCTTCGGTGGCGAGTGTGCGACAGAGGAGGCAGTGAGAGGAGAGTGTGGAGGTTAGGGCTTTTCGAGATTATCGAGCTATGGTCGCCATTGAGAGAGAGAGAGAGAGAGTGAGTGGAGAGAAGCTGAGAAGCTGAAAGTGTATCGGGTCGATCCGACTGCAGTTTTGCTCCGGTTGGAGTTTGCTGTGGCTGACGGTGACACACGCTTCTCCACGTGGGACCCACAATTGCACTCTTTTCTTTATTTTTTATTTAGTTTTTGGGTTTTTTTTTTGCTGAAATCCTAAACATATATTTAATTGTGCGTTTGGTTTGATAACGTTTTTCGTTTTTATATATTTTTTTAAAATATTAAAATTAAAATTTTTTTTTTGTGATAAAAATTAAAAATATAAAACATGTTTATAATCATTTATATTTAAAAAATTATGAAAATAAAAATAAAAAACTTATTTTGTTTTATACCAAAAATTTATCACCCAAACCCCACCATCCAATCCCACTGACCACCCAAGACTACCACCCAATTCCACCATTAAAACCCATTACCAAAANAAAAAAAAAAGAAGGCGTAAGAACTTTTATGTGATTTTCCCTTGTGTCACAATAGATGCAGATTTGTATTGTTTATCGTCCTTCAAGAACAATGGATGAGCCTTTTGAACCATTGAGGATCTAAGCCTGTAATTACAGAATCCCAAAATGAAGGCTCCCACAATTCACTTTTGAATGTTGTAAGGCTAATAAATATGCACGGATGTCTTTCTGCACAATAGTTTGAGATAGCGGCACGATGATGCGACTGTCAGAACATTTTGTAAACACGGAACAAAGTGAAAAGGGGGTTAGATGTGTATCTAGTTTATCTTCTTCGATATTCAAAGGGTGAATAAGCCTTTTACTGTATTTGAATGGCTTAGATTGTGTATCTAAGACCTAATTTATTGGGCTATATATACATTCAAAGGTGAGATAACATGGCATTTTGTGGGCCCATCAAGCTGGCTAGTAGTACCCCCTAAAGGTAATAATTTATTAGCTACTTTCTTATCGAGTCGTGTAATTATTAGGTTCGAAAAAAGACAATGATTCCTTGGTGTCTAGCCTTATTGTGATTATTTTGCTTGGAAGACCGAATACTTATTGTACATTCTCTCAATATTTAATGATTGCTACCATGCATTTATCAAGTTGTGTCGAACGAACCGATACCAAGCATTAAATAGAGGCACCCCCGAGAAGTTCATATCAATTTGGATTATGTTTTTATCCAAACTTTTTGATATTTGAAATAAAATTCGATGTGACGTGTATGGGCAATAATCATTCTCTACAATATATTGTGTCGTGGGGGGCTCAGTTCCCCGTCCAACATTGACTACTAGAGCCTGGGGGGGTGTATTCTTCCCTTATTTTTTTTTTGAAATTTCAGCTATTCCAATCCTTCGGGCCGGACTAATGCTGGACCCACACGCAAAGTTGGCTCTCCATGCACAGGGGGAAAATATAGGACCAGTGGCCCTAAGGAGTGTTTGCACTTAGCAAGTTCCGAACCCTTGACCGGTACCAAATTAAAGTACTTAACAAGTGACCCTTGAACCACTTGGCTAACCCCTTGGGGTTAGCATTCTTCCCTTTGATTCTAAAGGGCACGTTCCCATTAGGTCTCTTTCTCAGGACCGATCAGTTCATCGGGGTCTCACTGTTCATGTCCACGTGTAATGTTCTGATATGAGTGTTGTTTCGTATCCCATCAAAATATATAGTAGACAGCAGAGAATTCAAATCCTTTCATATATTGATTAATAATAAAAAAAAAAAACCTTGTTAAATACATTTTAATTTGAACTTTTATTAAGTAGACTCTTATCTTAGAGAAGGATGCTATGGTTAGTCCTAGAGTTATTTTAGAGGAGGATGCTATGATTAGTGAGCTTATTGATTCAGTCACAAGGTGTTGGAGAACTCAGGTGATTGATAGTGTTTTTCTGAAGCATGAAGCCAAGGTGATTAAAAGGATCCCGCTGGAGGTGTATTCTATGGAGGATAAGTTAAATTGGCACTATAGTACTAGTGGACGTTTTTCCTATAGGAGTGCATGTCATTTGGCTTATGAAAGGAATTTATTTCATTCGGCATCTCTTACAACAAGCTATATGGAATCTAAGAACCCCCCGTAAAATCAAAATTTTTGTGTGGAGGATGTCTTTAGATGCTCTTCCTACGAATGAGAATTTATGGCATAGGAAAATTAGGATGGATGGATGGAGTATGTTGTGTGTGTGGGGAAGGAACTGAATCACTGTTGCGTATAATGAAGGATTGTTCGTTGGTAAAAAAGGCCTGGGATGGCAGTCCTTTATGTCACCAGATTCTGGCAACATCAGCTTTTGGTTTTGGGATATTATTCAGCAATTGAAGCGTGATCTTGGGGCGTTTTTTTCTGGTCCTGTGCTGGCTACTGTGGTGAAATAGAAATGAAGTGATCTTCCCGCAATCACGTAATGATTCGGATGCTATATGCGCAGCAGCGACAGAATACCTATCCCAAATATGAGCATGTAGTTGAACAGAGGAGCATATATTGCTACTGATGGGGCTGCAATTACTGTGTGGTCTCCTCCAAGTTGTGGGCAATTTAAAGTTAATTTCGATGGGCTGTGTTTGAAACAGAAGCTGCTATTGGGGTGGGTGTGGTTATAAGAAATGAGGCTGAGAAGTTTATTGCGGGTATGTCAAAGAAGATCATTGCAATGGCGGCAAGGGAAGCTGTGCTATTTGCTATGCAGATTGGGTGTGATAAATTCCACAACAGTGATGAAGATGTTGGGTAATAATTCTGAGGATTTTTCTTCTTTGGGCTCTATTGTAGGGAATGTTCAATGTAGATTATTCTTAGATCGTTTATTTTTTCTTCATTGTCTGTTGTGAGAATGTTGATGTTTAGAAAGAGATGGCATTGGAGTTCTTAGTGCTATATCTTCTTTCAGATTTATCTTATTAATACAATTCCTACTGTTTGGTTTCAAAAACAATCTTCTTTGTTTACTTAATCGAGCTAAGAGGAAAGGTGACTAAGATTATCCATTCAAGAATCTATATCCTTTCGGGTAAAGCAACATGCCTTTTGAAGATCACATGGCAGAAAAGCAATCTTTCGTATCCACTTTTTGAAGAGAAGTAACAAGGCTTTGCAATACAGATGGAAGGAATATTTGAAGTTATCTAAAATCACTAATCGACATAAATGGGAAAAATAATAGGTGCTAGAAGTTTGGGATTAAACATAATTGTTTAGATATCTTATATAATTGTTGTGATCGTGCAACAATTATGGTGAATAGTAAAGAATCAAACAATTAAGAAAGCAGGAGAAAATAACACACAGAGATTTACGTGGTTCGGCAATGTGCCTACATCCACGAGAGCGAACGGCCGTTCTTTTCCATTATTGAAGTAGGGTTACATCTTAAGTATTTATATAACCCTAATATAGACGTATTTACAAAAATACCCCTGTACCGTACCGCGGGGGCGTTGCCCCCGCACCCCCTCAAATCAACGTCCCCTTTATATAAATCCCGCTCCGGCATCTGCCTCCTTAGCCATTATGCACACAGCAAATATGAGCCGCACATACTCTAACAATAATGAACTATTACTTCTTCTTCTTGGTGCATGAGGATCACATCCATCAATCTGAAGATTAGGATCATTCACCTTGCACGGATAGTCCTAAAAACGAGTGCATTGATACAGTGCACAAGACTCACGTTATTGGAGAGAGTCTATAAACGTTAAGATATATACAATTTAATTTTATATATGGAGACTATTTCCATAGATCGAACTCATGGCATCAATATTTAAATGAAAACATCTATTCGTAGCACAAAATTAGTCGTTGCAAATGGATAATCTTTTACCACGGAATGTTCCCGCTAAAGAATCATTTTATAAAGAAACTTCAGTGTAATAGAGAATCATGCATATATATATCTTTATAAAGCTCTAGAGCCCCCTTGTAAAGAGGATATGAGTATAATTTTAGAGTAGAGTTATCACATGTGGGTACCAATGTTATCCACTGGTTTATCTCAACTTGGCCAAATGATTATATTTTGAGTATCTCATTTTTTAGGATAGCAATAGTGTCGTGGTAGATCGTGTTATTTTAAATTTGTGTCGAACATTAATCAACTCTAACGTAATTTATTTAACTAATCATGTCGTGTCATGTTGATCTATATTTATTTTCATGTCATGTTTGTATTGACCCATATAATCCTTGAATAAAAAATTTAACGTTCAGTATTATATCTAAAAATTCATTATCACTTAAGCAAACTTATGCTCATATTTTTTTACTAAAAATTAACTTAATTAATATAATAATAAAAATGAGTAAAAATATTATTTTTATACAAGAATTAAGTCAATACTTGATAAAATATAATAAAAATATAATATTTTATTCTTATAACATTATTTAGACGTGTTAATTGTGTCAATTTTCGTGTTGTTTATGTTTCACATGAATCCCAACTCATTTATTATTTATGTGAACAGGTCGTGTCATATACTGATTCGTGTCGAAAAATGATCCAACCTTAACTCATTAAATTTATATCAATTTTAAGTCATGTTTTTGTGTTACGACACAAATTGTCACCCGAACCATTTCCCCATGAAGAGGTCGGTAACGAGATATTTTGTAGTAAGCAGTGGTATCAACTTTCAAGATGTTGGATATTTTGTTTAAGGACCACACTTTGAAAGCTAGCTATATCCTTATCCTTTACCATAAAAAACCTACAGGAACTAAACTACTCTATAAATATGTAGAAACTCATTCCAATTGAATTAAGAAACCTAACTACTCTTATAAGAGATGGAGGCTCATCACAAGCTCACAGAGTTCACCAAAGGCAAGTTGGTACTTATTCCTTTGTATCAAACAGGGAAGCCATCATCTGCTGAATGCAGGGAAACGATCATACCCAACTCTTCTTCTTCAAAGTCCTACGCTTACGTGAATCATTCACCGGAGAAGAAGCCACCAGCTTTTGGTCATGATTCTGGTGGTGGTGACTTGTTTGGTGATGAAAGTGTGGACTTAAGAGCTGCAAATTATATTTCAGTTGTTCGGGAGCGATTTAGGCTAGAAATGGCCAGCTGAACTCCCTTGTTCAGGAGTTTTTAGAAGTTTAAGTAATTGAGTTTTTGCATTACCTGTTTGTGTGTCTAATATGTGCAAGTTTTACTAATTATAATGTCAAGGACTATTCCAACAGTATGTATAGACGGTGTTTTCTTTGATCCCAATTGATGGATGATAAGATAGAGAGAAACAGGAAAATAGTATGAGATGCTGTTGTCAACCATCCCGTCATTCCCACGAATGCATAATAATCTCTTCTAAGACGGGCTTTGAAAAAGGATGAAGTCCTCGGTATATTACCAAGTCTAGTGTTGGAGTAAACAGATACAACATTCAGGGGTTCAGCATCTTCATGCAGCCACGACAGAAAAATTTAGACATTATTTGAATTGGGGAACGAAAAGGAATAAGTCAGGACTAATACTATTTAGACTTAAAAATTTGACTTAATATATTTACATAATGACGTGGTTTTATAAGAATTATTGAATCAATACCAAGTTTCAATGTTTAATGGGGTCTACAGTGAATCTAAAGATCACAGTGAATTAGGTTAATAAATTATGTCCCAATAGCATTGTTCATAAGTCATATGTAATATTAAAGAGATCAAAATATGTAGAGAAAATTTCGATCACACTTTCTTCTAGTTTATTATATCTTTAAGAACATTCCCTCTATTATCAAAAATATCACTGACACCCCTTCTAGTTTATATTTAAACATCACTAACACCCCTTACCATTAAACTACCATTTCTAACAAAAAAAATTAATCTAAAATACCAAAAATGCCCCTGCATAAATATCAAGTAATTTTTCTGCATAAAATTTTATTAAAATTCTAGCCGATTAAAATTTATTTTTTTACATATTAAAATTTGAATCAATTAAAATTCGATTGAAGCTGATTAAATTTAATTTTTTAAAGTATTAAAATTCGAGCCTATTATATTTTATTTTTTTACATATTAAAATTTGAGTCGATTTGAACTCTATCCAAGTTATTAGCGTCGATTAAAATTCGCTTTCGGGTTGATTAAAATTTATATTTTTTTACTTATTAAAATTCTTGTCAATTAAAATTTGATTTATTAAAATTTGAGTCAATTAAAATTTATATTTTTTTTATGTATTAAAATTTGGGCTGATTAAAATTTAATGCGAGTTAATTAAAATTTAATTTGAGTAGATTAAAAATAATTTTTAATTAACTCAAATAGAATTTTAATTAACTCAAATTTTAATACATAAAAAAATATAAATTTTAATCGATCAATGCAAATTTTTATATGAAATGAATCGAATTTTAATCTGTTCGAAGTTTAATACGTAGAAATAATTAGAAAATAGAGGTAGTCTCATTGAAGATATGCTTATCTAGAGAGGGTGCGGATAAAGTCTGTCCTCAAATATATCATGAGTAATTTAATAAAATTGCATTCTAGTTAATATTTTTAATCTAATAGGGGGTGTCATTGAAGATTTAAAAAATAGAGGGGTAGTCTTTGAAGATATGATAAACTAGAGGAGGTGTGGTTAAAATTTTTTTAAATATATATATTTTCNTGAAGATATGATAAACTAGAGGAGGTGTGGTTAAATTTTTTTTAAATATATATATTTTTCAATTTTGTTTGAAATACATTTCACCCAAGCCTCGGCGTTTAGTATCGCAATCCTTTAATTCCCAATGGAAGAACCTTTCGAACCCTAAGAAAATGTCTTTTTTTGGTTCAATGTTCAGGCGTGTACAAGTTGGTTTATTTGTATCTCGATTAATCTCTTCTTTAGTTCAATCAAAAACAGACCATACACACCAGAACTAGGATATTCATGTGAATTTACGACTCGTTCATGTTATCATTTAAATTACCCTTTAGTGCATTATGACTTCATATTCGTGAATTTGTATATCAATAATCACTTGGCATTGTCCCAGGCATATTTTATTCCTCAACTACATATTATTCTTTAGGAAATACAAACATATACGATCCCAAAGTAGAGTTTGAAAAGCTCCTACAAAGCCATTCCTCACACCAAGTGTCATACAGTTCAAAACACACACCCATTAGCTAATTATAAGTAAATACCAGCTGCTGCTAGTATATAAAATTTAAAGCATGCACCCATGTCTTTACCAATCTAGGGAGACCGTTTGGTGCCAGATTATTGGTTAGCTCCGTTCTGAACAAACCTGCAATTCAACAAACACGGTGTCCACAATATGATTGAACATATTTTTTAAACAATCAACTATTTTAAAAGTTTAAAGTGTTAGAGAGTATATAACTTAAATATTTATATTTAAATACACCCTCTCACGTACAGACTAGAACATGAGTTTAGCACGTGAAATTTTTTTAATAATTAGAGTGACGGTGAGATTCGAATACAGGACTTCCTACTCTAATACTATATTAAACAACTATATAGTTATTCTAAAAGTTTAAACTGTTAGAAATAATAAAATTTAACTATTTAGACTTGAACAATATCAAACATACATAATGCATATCGGAGTACCCCTGACAAGCCAGATTTTGAGTCTAGCGTGTAATTTTTTTTTATTAATTAGGGTGGCGTTAGATTCGAATACAAGACCTACGACTCTAATACCATATTGAATAATCATCTATTTCAAAAATTAAAGTTTTTAAAAATAATATAACTTAAATATTTATACTTTAATTGGTGTGGCCTTGATTATTTTCTTAAATCGAAAACTTGGAGTATTGGTTGACTATTTAACAAAAAAAAAGCTCTATCCAGCAATGTAGAGATATCAAGTTATCAAAGAAGAGCAAACTATCTCTCGTTCCACATTAATTTTAAGTTAGAACAAATTACACTTAGACCCAAAAACTATGCTTCTCATTTCATATTGCTCCCCTAACTATCCATTTTCTCACATTACACCTTATACATCTAGCTTGAGTTTCACATTACCCTCAATTGTTATATTTTCTCCAAATTTTTACAACAAAGCAAGTCAAAAAGTATATTCTTTCCAGTTGAACAGGATAATACCGCATCCCATAATTTTGTGGAATTTCATTTTTGCCCTAATTTGTCATAAAAAAAAAAAATTGGACAGAAGTTAATAGTTGGGGGAATATTCTTAAACTCAAACCGAGGAACAAAGTTTAGGAAATCGAAGTTTAATTTGCCCTTCAAGTTATAAACACTAGTTGAGGCTTATAAAGACAAGGTGATGTTTTTTACTTCAATGGACTTACCTTTGGAACACATCCTTACAAGCATCTGAGCTTCATATTATTGAGCTTCCATTGGCCTCTTGCAACTTAACCTCAAAGCACACATGAGTATTCAAATTCAAATTCAAATTCAAAGTTCAAGTTTTATCCTAATGGACTTGCATGGTGATTGTAAAAAAATGAAGGAGATAATGGTAGGTTGAAATACTCACTTTCTTTTTGAGAATTGAATTCTCTTCTTGCAGGGCTCTATGCTGCATAAACACAAAGATAAAAAAAAAAATTAACTTCTGAGCCGGCCATCGTAACTAGAGCTAATTTAAGAGCATGTTCCCTGATAAATAAGAGTAGCTGATTTAAAGGGTGTGAAAAGTATTAAACCTAAGACATCTTGTTTGTAAGATACCAAATAAGTTTGCTACATTTTACACAAATTTTTTTTTTTTTTTTGGTAACTGGGGAAATCTTTGATTTTTCCGTGACGAGTAGAGTCACGCTAATGTCTCTCAGACTCTTAAGTGTGAGTAAAACCAAGGGTAAACATCCGGTGGATGAACTGGTCTCTCAATTCATACACCAATTAAATCAAAACTTACATTTCGATGGATATTTGAACACACGCAAAAAATTTGAATATAGTTCATCCAAACAACTAATTGAAGTCTATCCTACCAACCAACAACGCTTTTAACGTTCAAAAAATTTAAACTCTTGATCTCAAAAGAGTTTGCTGTGTTTTCTAATTCATGGTCCATGGTTCACCAAAGTGACCTTAGTCTGCATTGCTGACCTTGTGTCAAACCGAGTGGGGGTAAAAGCACACACACACATCATTTGTGGTATATATAACTGTAGGCTAGAAGCTCACCCTACTCTTCAGCAAGTTGATCTGCTCAGAGATGACGCGTCTCTGCCCAAAGTTGTTATCATTCATCAGATCACATAACAAAAAAACTTAAAAGGTAAAATAAAAGGACTGTCAGGAATCAGGATGTAGCTTTCTATGGTCCAAAGGTGTGATATATGCATATGAACATGAAAAAAATATTAGGAGTAACGGTTACATTGTTTTAGTATTATCAAGTGGTATAATCGTCTAGTAACAAACAAACAAACAAATGAGTAAAATGGTCTCTATTATTTCAAATAACCACCCCCGTGCAGGATAGTAACTACAACATATTCAAAAAGTGAGGTTTACTTATCAATTTGTTTGTTTGTTTTTGAACGACTATACCGCGTGACAATTGACGTTGCACCCAATATTTTCTCATGAACATGTGGTTAGGGTCTTAATTTAGTTGTGTTATATTATGTTCGTGTCTTGTCATTTTAGTTTGTATTATTTTTCATTCGTGTAATTGTTGTGTTAATTAAAAATTATTTAATTTTAATATAGTTCTCCATAAATTCCAATTAACAGATTATGAGTTCATGTTTGTGTTAATAAAAATTCATTTAATTCTAAAATAAGTCATATAATATTAGAGCAAGATGCCAAAAATAAAAAATAAAAAATATTTTCTCTTTAGATTCAATTATTTATGTTAACTCTGGACATATCATTTTTTGTTTTATGTCGTGTCAAGGTGTGAAATTGGTACCATCTTGGAGCGGATGCGTTCGAGCCCTATCCTCATCTGGCGCTCAAGTTGTTTTAAATCTTTCATGCCCAATGATGATAGATCTTCTCCTGCATAATGCCTGCAGAAAATAAAACTATAGTGACACTATTAATGAGGATGATGATGCAACTATATATGTAAGATGGTTCATATTACAAACTTGTGTCTTGCTTCCAAACTGTCTATCGTTCTCTTTAACTCATCCATTTCGTTCCTCCATAACTGTGTCAGCCAGAATTTGAACCAACAAATGCATTATAAATAGTTAGAAGCCCCTGTTTAAAGCTACTAAATTGAAAATTCATGCTCATACAACTCTATTTTAGTTTGTACATCTGCAATGATAAATCTAATTTATTCGTAAAAAAAATACGAAAAAGGAATCGTTATTCAATTGGTGAGATTCAAACTAGGCAAAGCCTCGGGCTAGGTCAAACTAAAATTGTAAGAAGCAGGCTATTATGAAAATACAAAAGTTTTTGCAAAAGAATATATGTGTGTGTGTGTACCTCCGTGGTTCTAAATCCCTGGCTGTTCGGTTTAGAAAGTCCTACTTCATTCCGGTACCTTGCAGCGGTCCCATCCATGCTGCACTCAATTAAGATGTTCAAATATGAACTCCATAGTGTTATACATTCTCGTGTAACACACATTCATAAAAGATTCAAAAACTATATATATGTGTGTGTGTGTGTGAGAGAGAAAGAGAGAGAGAGAGAGAGAAGAACTGACTCATGACTGGCAAACTGGTAAGCCTTTCCAGAGGGAGAGAAGATGAGAAGGCCAACCTCAGCATCGCAAAGGATGGACAGTTCGAAAGCCTTCTTCAATATTCCATTCCTTCTCTTTGAGAAGCTCACTTGCCTGTTTGTTGGGTTCTCAATTCTCTTTAGCTCAACTTTCCCTCTGCCCATGATACCTACCTCCCTCTTTCTTACAAAAAAACAAGTGCCGAGTACTACTCAAAATAGTCTGATTCCTTCAAGCTATGAAAGAAGAAGGAATGTAAAGCATGTTCCAATATTGCTAAATGGCTAACTTCTTATAAACATGCCCAACCAAACCATGTATAACTACGTAAGCTCAACCACTTTATGATGTAATCTATGATGATAATTTCTGTACGGTAAGCTTTATTCATAAAAGAAAAATAATATTGGCTACTTTATAATTGTCTATCACATATCTTCTTTCTTGGATGCATCATAGGCAGAGTTTTCGATACGAAGGTGATAGCCTAACTACCATTGCTGTAACATTATAGTTTGCTGCTAAAAACCATAATGGGGTCTTGCTTTTTTGTTTTCTACGTTAATTACAATTCTCTTAACGCTCGAACTTCACATATATATGTTAAGATTACTGAATCTTCATACTTATTGGAGTGGATGTAAAAGTCTTGTGTGAGTTTGGTCACCAAACACTAAAAAAATTAGGACATTTTGTGACAAGATTTTTCAGGCAGAATCATGTTTTGAGAAAAAAAAACAGAAGTTTTTTCGTGGCGATAGTGTTGTGGGCTAGTTGCTGCCACAAAGACCTTTTCAGACCTCACAAAAGGGTGAATGAAATGTGTCTTTTTTTTTTTTGGCCTGTGAAAAAGGGTTGCGAAGGGGTGCAGCTGGTTAACTGCGTGCTACCATGGGGTTAGGGGTTCGAAACTTGTCGTCAACTATAGAAAAGTAGACCTGAAAAAAATTGAAACTTGAATAATAAAGCAACAGACTGTTTAATTCTCTTTCCGTTCTCAAATATCTGTCGTTTTACCCAAATTTTTTTGTTCTACAATATCTGTCGTTTTATGAAACCAAAACATAATTAATATTTTTTCTTCCAAATTTACCTTTATATCTGTTTTCTAATAAGTGCTTAATTAATTAAGTGTATGCTAAGTATTTTTCATATTTTTTTTCTTCCCAATACGTATTAAATAAGAGTATTTTAGTCTTGTGTAATTATTTTTTACTCATACTAGAGCTATTTAATAACTTCCTTAATTCTTGTGTAAAAACTTTAAGCAACAAATATTTAGGAACGGAGGGAATAATAGATACCGTAGCTCTCTTTAAAATGGTTCGCGCTACGAACTAAGTCGCCGCAGCTCTCTCCTCCCCTGCGCACAAGCGGTGTCAAATGTCTTGCTTTATTCACTAAGTTATATGCACAAGAGTTAATATAAACTCTTTTAAATTTTGATATTTTTTTTATTAAAAAACTCCAACAATATCATAAACAAACATGCTTAACTAGCTCATCATGGACCAAATATTTCCATGGAGCCAGTACCTGCAACGTCTTCCTTGTGGTTTCGACCTAAGTTCTTGGATCATTCTAAATTGGAGTAGACTAGTAGAAATATTACATATTGA